TCGGTGGGTATGCCAATATTCTCTAAAATATCTATGTGACCACAATGAATTGCAAGAACTCATAGTTGTGAGATCAACTATACTTTCTAAAAGTATGATGCAGTCCACATACCAATCTTATCGCATATCATCAATATCCCTTTCTTGATGATCATTGATCGGGGCTATTTTAGGACCTTATGTTATATCATACAAGCTCTCACTGACTTATTGACAACATAAGTCCAAGAGAACACAATTATGAATAAGATATTGACAATCGAAATACTTAACCATCAATGTGTAATACCGTATATATCAAATATATAAAACTGAATGTGATCAAGTACATATATCTCTAAAAGGTGATTGTCGCTAGGACATATATACTAACACAACCATCATCATCAAGGACGAAAGTTTCAAAAAGAAAAGAACGAGAACTAAAAAAGAAAGCCGTTGATCTGATATTGCTTGACTGGATAGAAGACAATGAGAATGATGAACTTCAAAAGTTGACCAACGAAGAAGCTCTCATTAAGCTGAACTACATTCGAGAAGTTAAGAAGACAGCTTCTGAAAAGCTGATGGGACTGGAACCTGAGGAATATGCTCAAGGAGAATTTTACGACGATCCACTTCCTGGTTTTCATTTAGTCAAAGATCTGATAATTGTGAGAAGTTTGAGACACCTTGGGAGAACGTCAAGATAATTGTGCCGTATCAAGAAGATCTGAGACCAAGGATTTGGTGAAGTGAAAAGAGCATTAAGAAGATTGACGAGCTTGAGCTAAGAGGATTCGAACACTTGGAAGGAACTGCCACCTCTGGACACATATGGATGCTACAAAACAAGTGAGCTGATCAGAATGATCCTTATGGACACCGGAAGAGATTGGTCAAGCATTCTGATTCACCGATCATAGGGATTAGAGCTGTAGAGATCCATAATATTGGCAGAACATTCTATCCAATTTATGAGTTTGAACGACAAAACGGCATGATCCAAAGAGCATCTGAAGCTGATCTGTACTACGTTGTTGCAAAAGATCTGATCCAACTATACTACGAGTACAGGTTCATCAATTTAAGGGATCTATCTCAAAAGGACAGAGATCTAGGCCTAAATGCACTCAAAAGATTCATGATTAGACAAGTCAAATATTATTCTCTCTTTGATCTGCAAATGGCCATAGAAAACAATTTTTCAAAAGTGAATATGACTGCTCCGAGAAATAGAGCTAAATGGATCGAGAATTTTGAAGAAGGTACCATCGTTACACAACCAGAGATAGGACTCATCTACAAAGACTACAAAGGCATCAAGCCAGTCCTGCTCATGGAAGAAATTCATAAATACTGCGATGGAACGTTCAGAATCATAGAGGACCATCTGGGAGAAGCTGCACTGAAGCTACAAAATTCAGAAGACCCATATGACCCAGTCCAGATTGCTCTTATTGCAGACTTTCACGAAGCCCTAGGAGTTAGACTTGATTTCAGAAGTACCCTCAGACATTATGAAGTCATCCTTGGCTATCGGAAGTCATTGTACAAGACTCAGAGATAAACCGCGCTTCATTGACATTTGAACACAAATGGGGTGAATGTTAGAATATTATTTTATTGTGTTCAAATTAATTGTATTTTATTTAACTAGTGTTTGTATTGAAATAGATTTGCTGAGAGAGAATTAGGCCCAATTATTAGTGCTCTAATTAAGCTCACACGTCTAAAGTTGTTGTTTCCTAATTGTAATAGGGTTGGCCGAACTACTCCCTATAAATACATAAGGACTTGGTCGAAATCAGCCCTAAGTCTCTACACATTCTATTCCGCATATTATTCTGGTAGAGCACGTAGAATAGAAATTCTCTCTCTAGCTTATTCGTTCGAGTACTATGTAATTTTTCATCATGGATTCATCATTCTATATACACGGTATAAGTTATTGATGAAATTTCTCTTCTACTGTTTTAATTCTTTCTATTATTATTAGAATATTCGACTGTTGAAATCTGGGCATAGTTCACACAATTCACGACATTGAATATAAATTATTCATTACACATGTCTTCCATCATCTTCAACCTAGGGCTTGTTTTCAACCTCGGCCGCGTAGACTGAAGAATCTGGGTTGTTGGACCGGCGAAGGGGCGCGACTGAGCAGCAGCAAGTTGCAGTGCGGCTGGATGGTGATGGTAGCTTGATGGGGACTGATTGGGCGGCGGGGACAACAATCGGAGGGCAGCCGTGCAACTCGATGGTGACAGTGGCAGGATGGGGACGAAGGCGTGCGGTTTGGCAAAGACTGCGGATATGAGCGAGGGCAGCGACACTCAGGACCTGGGACGACGTTGACGAGCAGGGATCGCGACGGCGGCGACGCTCATGGCTCGGGATGGCGGTGGCGCTCATGGCTCGGAACGACGACGATGTGCAGGTCTAACAACGACAGTTGCGTGCTGCGTGGTCGGTTGTATGCGGTGGTCGCAGTGAACATGTGTGGGGCTAGTGGTGGCCAGGCAAACCTGCAACTAGAGATAGACTGGTGGTCGGTGGCCGTGCCATTGGACGGCGGTGGACAGTGGGCCAGGGGGATGGCGGCGGACGGCGGGCCGGGGGATGACGGTGGACGGTGGGCCGGGGGCAACGGGTAGGATGCTAGGGATTTCTGACCGCTGGTTGCTAGGGTTGGAAAAGGAGTAGATGTTTAGGGTTTTATAGGTATAACCTAAATGGTATATTTGTCCATAAAAATATTTATTTATTTATTACTAATTTTAATTAAATAATACGAATTTAGGTAATATTTTAAACTAGTTGGGTCATAGATCGAGAAAGTTAAAGAGTTTAGTCATATGGGTATTTCAACATGTACTGCTCATAATTTACATAATATTGGAGTATATATAACGTGGAACATCAAAGACACTCGCACATGAGTAATTGACAAGGGAGCTATTAGATAATGAGCTTTAAAAATAGGCTATAAATAATGATCTTTTTATTCAACAAAAATATTAATCCGTAACTTTTCATTTCATCCAAAAATTATATTGAAGGTAGAATGTGACACTTTGAAAAAATAAACTAAAATAAATAATTTTGTTAATGAGGCAAAATTAATGAGTAATAGGTAATATTTCCAAAATGAACAGAATAGATAATCATCAACATAAAAGGAAATAAACAATTTTTATTAAATACTTCGTATAAATCATGGGTGGGTTAATTAATTTTTAATACATTTTTAATGAATCGTTAATGGACAATTTAGATCCATCCATCATTATTAGAGAGGTGTTTAGATCTGATTTTTAAAACTACTTCAACTCCTTTAGAAGACAAAAATAGGCATTATAGTGTTTGAGTGAAAGCGTAGAAGAGACCATTTTCTGAAAAAACTAATTATGAATCTATGATCCTACTATTACTTTTAAAATAGAAGCAAAAATAAAATTAATTCCAAATGCCCTCATATTCAAACAATAAAGAATATTGGGAAAACTGTCAAATAGGTCTTCGAACTTTCATAAAAAAGTCAATTAAATCCTCATATAGGAGACTCTATCCGGTCGTCGCGATTTGGGGTTGTTCCCGGTATGGGTGGACTCGGGCCGGGCCAACCGGACCGGCCCGCTACTGTGCGGGCCCGGACCAGCCCGGTTTATTGGTTAGGACACGGTTCGGGCCACCCGGCCCGGTCGTGTAGCGGTTCGGGCCCGGGCTTAGAATTTGATGAACCGGCCCGGCCGGGCCGGGCCCGGTCCGGGCCTCAACGGTCACAAAAAAAAATTAAAAAAATTTGAAGGCTCTACTAGCCGTTGGGAGACCTCCCAAACGACTCTATAGCCGTTGGGAGCATAGGAGGGGGGGGTCTGGGGGGTTAGGGGGGGTGGGGTGGGGGTGGGGTATCGAGCTACTGAACAAAGCTCAGGTAATGAGCTTTCTTTGTATCTAACATTGAATGTTGATTATGAAGTTGGTGATGACTTTGACGTTCTTAAGTGGTGGAAGGAAAATGAAAGAACATTCCCGATTTTATCAAAGATGGCTAAGCAAGTACTAGCAATGCCGATATCAACCGTTGCCGTGGAACAAGAATTCAGTGCGGCCGGCAACGTCCTAACAGATTTTAGAACGAGGTTGAGCCCGAGCTCTCTTGAGACACTAGTTTGCTTTCACGATTGGTTGAAGGCCCAACGAAGAACTCAAGAAATTACCATCACTCCCTCCCGCCACTTTATGGAGGAAACAACCGAAGGCGGAGAGTCCGATTGATTTTTTATTACAAAATGTATTACATTTTTTAAATTCATCCTAATTCTCAATTGTACTTCTTATTTGAAATAAATATACTTCAATTTGAATATAATATATTGTAATTGTAATAAGATTTATTCTAATTATATAATAATTAAAAAAAAATTAAATAGGCCCGGCCCGTGAACCGGGCGGGTGACCCGAACCGAACCGGACCCGGGGTTATCCGGGCCGGTTCCGGGCCTGCCTTCCTAGAACCGAGGCCCGGCCGGGCCCAGGCCCGAACCGGGCCCGAACCGGCCCGAGTCCATTCCTAGTTCCCGGTGTAATTTTTTGATACAATTTTTTGAGCATCTTATTCATCAATTCTAGTTTACTCATACCAAATTTCAGCTACAAATTCAATCGGGAGCGCATTCAAATTAATTCGAGAACGCAAAAATGCGCAATTATCTTCAAGAATTATTTTGAATGTGTTCCCGATTGAATTTTTAGCTGAAATTTGGTATGAGTAAACTAGACTTGGTGAATAAGATGCTCAAAAATTTTCATCAAAAAATTTCACCAGGAACTACCCCAAATCACGACGGCTGGACCGAACCTCCTATAGAAGGACTTAATTGAACTTTTTATGAAAGTTCGAGGACCTATTTGACAGTTTTCCCTAGAATATTTTAGTCATCCCATTGTCACTTATAGATGTGTATATTCAATACTCCACATAATTACTTATTCACTTTGCTGCAGCACCTCACTAGTAACTAACCAACTACATTGCATAAATGAATGAAACATACCTCACTAGTAATTTTCATAACATGTTAAATTATACTCTGTATAAATTGGCAAGCTCTTAGATGAATGACTCCATTCAGTGGTGTAGTGAGGACTAAGGGCGGTATATTGGACTGGTAAAAAGATTTTCTTTTAAACCTTTTACACGGTTTTTCACCATAATAATTTAAATAAAATTGAAATTTGGTGTGGGTCAGAACCTACGATGTCCCCCGATCCTAGCTACGCCCCTGACTTCATTGACACCACACAGTCCACACTCCAACTTCTCCATCCATAATGACAAAGCGAGACCTTGTTGAATCATAATTACCAAGCTTACATACCCTGTTCTAAAGCTAACCGGCCTCCTTAGATCAAAGATGAAATGAGTAAAAATGGGTGGTGGGGGTTATGCTGGGGAGAGGGCATCACACAATGATTTGTACGCTGTAACACAACACTTGAATTTCTCTTCTGCAGCAGCCTGTAAACAGTAGAGAGTAGTGACATGTGACCGAGGAAAAAGTAGGCCATGAGAAAAAATCTGTTACCAATATTTAAGTTGACAATGTTACTTCGAGTAATATAATGGAGTCAATGGCTGCTGTGGCTTCATCAATGCCATATATTTTCATGGCGAGTCATTCATTTTCAACTGGTTTTAAAAGTAAGCCGTCACAGTGAAGCTATGTTTGCTCATATGACTACATAGTGGAGTCATATGGGACTCTGTAAAATTTTTGATGTCAAGTCATCTCAAATTGTACAAATATAAAATTACAATCCAACAAATAAGGCTCGTTTGGTAACACTAAAACTAACTGAATTTGCTGAAATTTATGAAATTCTGGTTGAAGTGGTTGCATAATTGCATTGGCTGAATCATGGGAAATTATATTTAAAAATATTTTATTAATAAAGTTAAGAAAAAATACATGAAACATAGTTAAAATGGTGCTCTATAGTAACTTCAGCCAGAAAAGTAACTATAACCTTACTTATTTTGATTATTTCTCAATTCAGCGCACAAATTCAAAACCTACGTGTTTGGTAAAAATTTGGTTGATAAGCTGAAAATAAATGTTACCAAACGGGCTCATAATGTCTAATGACATGTTCACTTTGGACTTATTTTAGTCACATTCAAGACTAGACTTGGTCAAATCAAATGCGACTGACCAAACATAAAAAGATACAACAAGGCCATACCAACATTAAAATAATAATATGATACAGAGTTTTTGCCACTTTCGGTCCCCCAACTATTGTGTAAGTGACACTTTTGGTACTTGACTTCTTGTTTTTTTATTTTTAGTCCTCAACTATTGTGCTAGAAACGCTTTTAGTCCCCGACTTCAAGATTTCCCACATTTAGTCCCTTGACTATTGTCAAATTGACACTTTTAGTCCTCCCATTACGATTTAGACACAATAAATGGAGGACTAAAAATGTCACTGTTATAATAGTTGAAGGACCAAAAGTGTCACTTTTATGAAAGTTGAATGACTAAATATGGAAATTTTCAAAGACGGGTACCAAAAGTGTCTCTAGCGCAATAATCGAGGACTAAAAATGGAAAAAATCAAAGTCGAGTACCAAAAGTGTCAATGACATAATAGTCGGAGGACTAAAAGTGGCAATAACTCATATGATACACTAGAAATAATATTTTGCCCAGGACAAACCAGAAAAAATGGGTCCAAATGAACATGCTACTCTTCTTATAAGGTTAATATTTTGTGATAGATTTATAAATCTTATTACAATATTAACATACATGATTAAAAAGAAGGGTGGGGGTGGGGGTGGGGGTGGGAGATTTATATGAATACAAGCTGACCTGTGAAGGACCTTGGTGCTTATCAGGATGCCACTTTAAAGCTGAGAGGCGAAAACTACATCAAGACAGCACCCGTCAAATTTAGTGCCCTCTTACAAAAAATCTTGAAATCCTGATTTATGGAAGTAAGAAAGATGTTTTTTAACAACTTACGCATTCTTGACATCCTCAATCTTCAAAGGGCCCCTGACAGGAAGACCTAGGATTGATCGTTCGGAGTATGACCCTACAATATAAGACCCACTAATGCTATGATTGGTGTCTGAACTATTGTGATCGCTTTGCTGTCTGCCACTCCATTCCCTCATTTCTTCTTCATGGCGAACTCGAGTTTTTTTACCATCAAATGAAAATTCCTTCCATGGCTTGTAAGACCACGTGTACGATTTGTCACCAAAGGTTGCTCGAAATATTTTCTCTGGATGTTCATCATCATAATCGTCTTCATATAAACACTGTTTCTTCAGTTTACCTAAAAATGTACCAAAAGGACTGAACTGGTCAGCAGGCAGAGTAGCCAGGCACACATCTTATCTTCAATATAATTCAATCTAATTCTGTGTGCAAGTTTGCAAAACACGCTTAAACCCTTGAAGTACATTACTATTTCCCCACCAATACCCAATGAAGATAGTTAGGAAATAGTTAACTTTTCACACAATTGACACATTTTCCTTATTTTTATTTAGAAAAGTGGAAGTAAATCAAGTAAATATTTGCACCTACACTCTACACATTGCTGAAGAATATCTATACTAATCAAGACTTGATCATGAGTAAAAGGCTTAAATAGTATTTTTCTAAAAGGCAGTTTATGTTGTATGTTGAATAAGATTATATTCGAATTGAATTAATAATCAAATTAAGATTACTTTTGTGTTTTGTGTTGCTTTGTCAATTAGTATGCCCATTTATTCACATGCATCTATTCCACCATGATTTGTTGACAGAAATGGGCTGAATAAGCATGAGAATGGGAAGAATAAATAATATATTACTACGTAGAAGTGAATGATTAACTCAAATTTTGGCAGAAAGAATAAGGTGTGCTTCCAATCAAGTCAAAAGTAAACACAGGTTAGTGTTTAAAGAATTAGACAACAATCCTGGTTATGCTCATTAAGTCACAAGTAAACAATTCCTGTCCAAGTTTATATAAGTTAATAAAAGAGCATGCCAAAAAAGACTGCAGAAAAAAGTGAAAATGTGAAATAAGACACTATTCGTGAAGAGGCATAAAGTTCCTATGAAGCTTGAAGAAATAAAAAATTACGCTGCCTTCTCCTCAAGCGAGTCCTACTACGAGCTGAAGTCTTGAGTTCACTTTTGTTGTCTAAAGGGTCATCATTTTGCTCTACATTCCATCTCACATTTTCTACCGGATATTTTTCCTAGGCAAACCAAAACAGAAAAATTAGCATTTCCTTTCAACATTAACTTTTACAATATAGAAAAGATAAACTGTACTGAGCATGGCCAAAACTATGTCCATAAGTGAATATGGCACATAGAATGGGTGGGGTGACATGCAAAATGATTGAACTACTGAAAGTTAATAATAACATTTACTCAATAGAGGTAATACCAAAACAAACAAATTAGGGTATTACAAACAGTCGTGAAAACCCGTATTGTACAGACCACGGGGAAAGTTTTGGTGGTAAAGCAACACATATGAGTATAAAGATGATATTGGGTGAAGAAACAAACAAACTGGAACATGCTATACATTGAGAAGACAAATACTCGTACGAAACAACCAGTTACCTCAAGATAGTTATCAATGGAGCCCCCATAAAAGAGCAGATCTTTCAAAGCTTTCCTTGAGTCTGCACGCTTTTGACGTACTGCATACCGGATAGCATTCTGTACTCCCAAAGATACTCAAGTTTTAGTATCATTTCATTATAAGGTCAAATGTCTCAATAGCTAGAACGACGAGGCAGCTAATCATGATAGGAAAGATTGGAAGAAAACGTTTTGTGCTTATATGTTTAAGCCCAAGAGATATGAAAAACACGTATATTTGTTTTGGATTTTCTTTATATAGTATTTGTTATAAACCACCACTTCTCTTAATGTGTGCAAAAGTGTGGAGTTTCAAATTGGTTTAGATATCTTCATTTGTGCTTTTTCGACAATAAGGTATGCCTCTTTTTCGACATTGGATTTTCTTCATAAAGAAGCATTTTCTGCTTTACTGGCCTTAAAGTTAAAACCCTACATCTGGAATAGATAAATAGCAAGACTGAACCAAACATGCACCTACAGTTCAGGTTAAGCAACACTAGTATATAACCTGTGAAAATTAATTTATGCAAGTGCAAATTAAACATAGAGATATCACGGGTAGTCTAGTACAAAAAGAGAAATATAAGTACTTTGTTTGACTTCGACGGCTGTTGATTTCCTCTGAAATGCTGCACAGAAATAATTTAGCAAACATTCAGTAAGGGAATACAATCTTTTACTTCTTTGAACAGACAATGGCTGTGAGTACGAACAATAAGGGAGTCTTTAAACACAAATTATTATTGAAAAAATAGATCCCAAATCAATAAGGAAAATGAATAAAAACAAATAAATGGGAGATATGGGAAATAATAGAACGTTTCATTCATGAAGGCAGCAAGATGGTTCTCACTAAATTATATTGTAAGAAGACTAGAAGCCAGCATACATTTTACAGTTTTCACTTGATCACAAAACTTCATGAAAAGGTCAAGGTCCAAAGAAAATGAAAACTTTGATTCCCACTTGAAACTACATAGTTAATACATAGAGTCCATTTTAAAAGGTTAAACTTATTAGAAGTAGCCCAAATATGTTATATCTTAGTTTGTTGCTATAAACTTAACCAATGTGGATTATACACTTCAATACCCTACGGTATAGCCCATGATCAAGTGTCTCTCAGAGGTGCACAGTGCACACACTCTCAAGGTTTTGAAAGGCGAACGACTTGAACTCCTTTGAAAAACGCGTGACACTCTATTCACACTCTGTCTTGACTGTATCATATTTTCTTGTAAATTTATGCAGCCCTCTTAGCCCCACACCTCAGCAGGACAACTTTATTTCCTATCCAAACCCACATAATAACTTCAGATCAAGTTGACTTTGATGCCCTATTAACACTTGATATTCTTTAGCAATTGTTTTATACGTTGGTATGTCAAACCAAAAGAGTAGACCGAAAATCAAACAAAAAAAAAATGAATCTGGGAGCAACAGGTCAAACAAAAGTACAAGATTTTTTTTTAATTTCTACCATTTTGGAAAAAATAAATATTGCAATGAGCTTACGGACTCCCACTTGCTCTTCCGCTTCTCCAACCAGACCGGAGTAGAATGGAAGAAGGCAGAACAGGTAGCAGATGATTCAGTGGGTGCTGCTATTTTCGTGGACAGGAGAATCAAAATTGAGCCTTTCTGCCATCTGCGCATTGCCTGCATCATTTCCTTGGAAGTGTAGAAATTCTAAAAGAATAAATGAATTTCATTCAATAATAATCCTCTTAGACTCAAAAATATTAAGAAAGAGAACAACAGGTTGGGACGATGAAATAATCCACCAGTTCTTTGAGAAAAGAAAGAAGCGTCACGCTAAACTCGAAAAACGTGACCTCACATTTAACTTGTGACCTCAGCACCTTATGCATTTAGGTCCATTGGACATTCGGACCATCCCAATTTTAAGAAGATGGGTTTACTTCTAATTATTTTTTGAAAGAAAAACAACTACTCCGTATTTATTAATAATAAAAATAATCGGTTCAAAAGAAATTCTGATAATCTAAGATTATAATAGGACCTTTCAAAACAAAAGACTATAATGGGATGTGATATAGAATTGAATAGTTCCAAAGGAACATAACCATTGTGGTCCCGTAAAAATGTAGACTTTTTTATCAACATAGAAGCCCGTGCTACTTAATCAATTATCAATACTAGAAAAAATCCTTATCTACGACAGAAAACAAACATATAAATCGATTTCACCATCCACCGACAAGGAAATAATAGAGAACCTGGTTTGTCCAGTCACCAGATAGAAACAACTAGAATCCTCAATTTAACCAGCTACTCGGAAGAAGTTGCAAATATCATCAGTTTGACCAGTCACCGAAAAGAAGATCCAATCGAATGTTACATGTCTCTCATAGCATCATGGTGGTTCAGGAAAAGGTTGAGATTTTGAAGTCGCCGATGTATGAAGTTAATCTCCCAAACAAGTTGAGCAGATTTGGGATTTGGGAATACGTTACCTGGTTTGGGGCTTTGGGCTGTTGGGCTTGGCAGTTGGCCCAATCGGCCTTGAATCGTTTTTTTGTTGGCCATCAGTAAAACGAAGTTGTCCTATTTAAAAAGAAAACAGCAGCTCTCACCTAGTCACCCGATCGTCCCTTTTCTCAGAACTAGTTGCCTGCAAGACTAACGCCTGCTCGCCGAAAATTACGGACCTGCCCGGCAGCCCGCTCGCATGACTTCCCAAACCCTTCTTATACAACTACTTCGCCGGTCAATCAGGTAGATAGGGATGCTGGCGAGACAGGGCCCAGTTCAGAGGGGTCCGTTGGAAAGGTCAATGACTCACTGAATACGCAGATTATGCGGGTGAGTTTTTGTGTGCAGGCAGATGCTCGAAGAGAGAACCATCACGATAATACGTGACCTTCTACAACAGCTTGAATTTATTGCCACGGGCTCTCAAAGGGTTGATTTGACGGGATGGTCGAAAAATTTTCTGGGCATTTTTTCAAGCTTTAGGCCACAATGCATGAAAATTCGGTTGATCAACCAGGGATTGCTCTTGGTAATTATGACGATGTGTCCCCCGTTGTCGAATCTGATCCCAAAAGTTTTGAACGCCAATCTTTATGGCCCGAGAGAAATGAAATAACCAAAGGAATGATATTGTTGGGTCTCTCTGACATGTTATTTGATGTCTATTGCACCCTTCACGATACGGCTAAAGACCTTTGGGATTAATTGGATATGAAATATAATATTGATGACCATGATCTTGAGAAGTACATTGTTTCCAAATTCTTGAGATTCAACATGAAAGAGGGAAAATCTGTTTTAGAACAAACACACGAATTTGAGCTTATCTTACACTCTCCGTGAAGCAGATATGGAATTGCCTGAAAATTTTAAAGTCATGACTGTAATTGAAAAATTCCCCAAATTGTGGGAAGATTTTGGTTTGACTTTAAAACACAAAATGAATTTGATAACTTGGAAATCTTTGATGCATTCCATTACCGTTGAGGAAGAACATAAGCAAGCGGGTTACATTGTCCCTGTTGCATTTCAACCAAAGGCTCATGTTGTAACCGGGGGAAAACAGTCACAAAATTCTAAGAATAAACAACCATCATCTTTTAAACCAATAAAGGCCAAACTAAAAATTGCAAAGAAACCAAAGGTAAACCGTCCATGCTGGAACTGTGGACAGATGGGACATTAGGCCAAATTGTGCTCAAATAAAAAGGCTAAGGCTTAATCTGGTGGACCTCAAGTCAACATGGTGACTGGAGGAACTAGTTCCGATGGGTATGTTTCTTTTAACCCTCAAGTTTTCACTATTTATAATTCCAATGAGTGGCTAATAGATACAGGAGCGAATGTGCATGTATGTGGTGATAAATCGCTCTTTGTTTCTTATCAGCCAGCGGTTGGAAGAACTGTGATGATGGGAAACACAAGTGCTGCTAGTGTGCATCGAGTTGGAAAAGTGGAAATAAAATTTCCTTCGGGAAAAATTCTTACTTTGCATGGAGTGCATCACGTTCCCGAAATTAGAAAGAACATTGTTAGTGGTTCCATTCTTGTTAGGGAGGGTTATGAATTATCTTTCAAATTAAATAACGTTGTAATTTTATTTGACATAACATTTATTGGCAAGGGTTACTTGTCAGATGGACTTTTTAAGATTGTGGTTGATTATTTTGAATTAAATTATGTATCTGAGAATTGTGATTCTTCAACTTTATGGCATTATCGTTTGGGTCACGTTAATTTAGATTCTGTGAAAAGAATGATGAATTTAAATTTAATTCCTAAACACTCAATTGATAAAACTAAAAAATGTATGGTATGTGTTACTACAAAACAAGTAAGAAAACCTTGTCATTCAATTGATAGAATTTCAGAATTACTTGATTTAATTCATACCGACATTTGTGAGTTTAATGCAGTGCTGACTCGTGACAAAAAGAAATATTTTATCACTTTTATTGATGATTATTCTAAATACTGTTATGTGCATCTACTTAAGGGAAAAGATGAAGCTCTTGAAAAATTCTTAATTTTTAAGAATGAAATAGAGAATCAAACTGGCAAGAAAATTAAAAGGTTAAGGTCCGATAGGGGAGGAGAGTACACATCTAATTTAGTTGTACTAGAATGCCAAAAATATGATATAGTACATGAAGAAACATCTCCTTATTCACCACAATCAAATGGAGTAGTTGAACGGAAACATAGAACTTTTAAAGATATGATTAACAGTTTATTAGAGAACTCTGGATTACCTAAGTTTATGTGGTGGGAAGCCTTGAATACGGTCTGCCATATTTTGAATAGGATTCCCATGAATCATAAAGATAAGTGTCCATTTGAACTCTTGACAGGCAGAAAACCAAGTTTAAAATATTTTAAAGTGTGAGGCTGTCTTGCAAAAGTATTAGTCCTTGAACACAAAAGAAAGAAACTTGGGCCTAAAATTGTTGATGCTATTTTTATTGGTTATGTTGAACACTCTTATGCATTGAGATTTTTGGTTATTAAATCTGAAATTTCTGGCATAGATGTTAATACTATTATAGAACTTCGTGATGCCACTTTCTTTGAAAATATTTTTCCAATGAAAATGGGTGTGCCCCAAAATATTTCTTTTAAAAATCAAGAAACACCATTTAATTCAATTCCTGATCAAGTGGAAAAGATGATAAATGTGGGGTAGAATCTAGTAGTACTAGTCACGCTAGTTTTGAATCAAATGAGCTAGATGAGCCCAGAAGGAGCAAACGGGCTAGGATCACTAAGGAATTTGGAAGTGATTTTATCACTAATAATATTGAGGGTGATCCAATATCCTTTAGAGATGCAATGGCTACATCTGAGGCCATGCATGGGAAGGATGCCATTAAAAGTGAAATGGACTCGATTGTTCAAAATGGAACATGGGAGCTCGTTGATCTTCCTCCCGGGTATACTACTATTGGTTGTAAATGGATTTTTAAGAAGAAATTAAAACTAGATAGAACCATTGATAAATATAAGGCCAAATTAGTTGCTAAGGGTTATAAACAAAAAGAAGGTATTGATTTTTTCGATACATATGCTCCGGTTGGAAGAATGACCACAATAAGAATGCTTATAGAATTGGCCTCCGTATATGGTCTTAAAATTCATCAAATGGATGTTAAGACAACTTTTCTTCATGGTGACCTTGAAGAAGAAATTTATATGGATCAGCCTGAAGGATTTGTGGCAAAAGGCAATGAGAGAAAAGTTTGTAAATTAGTTAAGTCTTTATATGAACTTAAGCAAGCTCCTAAGCAATGGAACAAAAAATTTGATAAAATAATTTTTTCGTTTGGATTTACTCTTATAGATGCTGATCAAAGTGTTTATTATAAATGTAAAGGTGATATTAGAATTATTTTATGCCTATATGTTGATGATATATTATTATTTGGCACCAATGATAATATTATTTTTGAGACTAAGTCATTTTTGAAAACAAAGTTTGAAATGAAGGATATGAAGGTGGGTGAAGTAATTCTTGGGCTAAAGTTGACTAGATCAACTGAAGGAATTTCTATTTCTCAGTCGCATTATATTGAAAAACTAATTGAGAAATTTGGATTTAAAAATAGTAGAATTGCTAAAACACCCTATGATCCTTCATTAGCTTTGTATAAAAATGAAAGTGGTGTTCCTGTGTCTCAATTAAGATATTTTCAGATGATTGGTAGCTTGGGTTACTTAGCGAACTGTACTAGACCCGATATTGCATTTTCGGTGTCTAAGTTGAGCCGGTACACTTGTTGCCCAAACAGAACTCATTGGGAGGCCTTAGATAGAGTATTTAGATACTTAAAAGGAACCATTTCTTTGTGTTTGCATTACGGTAAATATCTTCCTGTTCTTGAGGGATATAGTGATCCAAGCTGGATAGCTAAGAATTCCGGGAGTTATGGATGTACCGGCTATGTGTTTACGTTTGGTGGTGGGGCTGTTGCCTGGAAGTCCACTAAACAAACAATACTTTCTCGGTCTACTTTTGAGGCTGAATTATGTGCGTTGGATACTACTAGAATTATGGCTGAATGGTTTATGGAAATAATGTCTGAGTTACCTATATTCAGCAAGCCAATTCCACCTATTTATTTGCATTGTGATAGTATGAGTACAATTGCAAAAATTAGGAGTACCAAGTATAATCAAAAGACTAGGAGACATATTCAAGTTAGATTAAAAACTATAAGGAAATTTGTGTCTCGAGGGGTGTTTGCTGTTGATTTTGTTGGATCCAAAGATAATACAGTAGACCCTTTAACAAAAGGACTTGATTTAAAACAAGTGATAACATCCAGGTTAGGAATGAAACTGAAACCCAATAATTATTCAACTACGGTAGCAACCCAACTTATCTGAGTGGAGATCTCATAAAGTAGGTTCAATGTGGTA